GAAGGTTTCTTAATTGATTAGAGTAGGATTGAAATAACTTGATCAATAAGTTGTACTCCAAATCATTGAGATTTTGAATAATGGATTAGCATTGCACCTTGCTTTCATCATTTAATTGTACAAAATGATATTTTTTTGTATATCAACAGATCTAGTATGCACACATTTGAATCAAGAAGCAGTGTGTTCATATTGTTGAGATTATCAATAGTAGAATTTCATTGTACATTGCCTTTATTAGTTATTTGTATATCTAATTTTTGTTGTTTATTAGCCAATCCACTGGGTACACATGATTGATAATAAAATGTAGTCTAGATAATAATATGCACTTCATATTCAAATAAATTGGATTTTGATAACAAACTCCATTTTGAAGGAAGCAAACTAAGCAAATATTCATAAAATATTATATAAACAAATTCACTATACTTTATATTGATATAAACTTAATATACATAGTATTCATGCAACAATGATATTGAAAAAAAGAATACAATCATCCTAAAATTTACATATGTTGTAAACTAAGTAAGATCTATAGAAAGAAAATCAATAAAGATATGAATGATCAAATACAAAAATACATTTGTCTTCATTCTCTAATTTATTCAACTTGCAAAATCCTTTTCATCCACATCCAAATTTTACAATAGATTTACATTGAAGTAAGATCTTGTATTCAATTGCAATTTTATCTATATCCCACAATTGCCATTTTTCTGTCTTATCATTATAGAATTTGGCAACCATGTCCATTGGTATATTTTGCAACATTTTTTTTTTAAAGAAGTAAGTATCTGTTTAAACAGAAACACAAATGTATAGTGAAGAGATTAAAACATACCAATTGACCTCCAATAGCTTTATAACGAGTTAATATAACTGAGAAACTATCATATTGAGAAGTTTGAGGATCTTTTTGGTCATAACATATTTGCTTATGAAAATTATTAAAAATAGTAATATAGAAATTATAATCACCCTCTTATTTAAAGATACACTAACCCTTCCTTTGAGTTCTAAGAGTCACTTCCAAGGAGTTTCAGCAGTCAGAAACGAGTTTTGCATGCTTCCTTAGCCACTAAGTAAAAGGGAACCAAAATTGTAACATCCTCACTTTATTTAAATAATTTTTTAGTTCAATATAATAAAAAAATATCAATGTGATGTGATTTAACTAAACATAAGGTATTGATATTAGAAAAGAATTTTGATTATATTTATATAAGGCCTGAATTAATAAAATGAAATCATTTAAAATTTATATTTTGAATCATCACTTAATATAATTCTATATTAAATAAACTCAAAATGGAAACAAACTCAATGTTATTACAATTTCATAATAAATCCAAATTCTTCAATGCAGTTCTCTTCCTGACTACGAGTAGGATCATAGAACAATTTCATCTTTGTTCATTGATTCTCTACCTGAAATTTATTTCTAAGGATGAGCTTCCTTCTCTCAATAAATTCTCATTTTAATAACATAATCTCACAACATAGAAAGTGATTTCTAGTATAATATACGTCCAATTAGAATTTATTTATAAAATCATTCTAAATCAAACATGGAACATTCACATGTATCATTCATCACCTAATCAAATAATATTTATTTCTCATTTATTTAACATAATCAAATTCTCACTTTACCAATATGGTCATTCAATTTCTCAAATCATGCCACTTTGATCATTTCAACTCCAAATATTCATCAAATAAAAGTATTTCTACATACTCACGGGCCCCTAAATTGCTGCCAACATATTCTTCCTAATTATTATGGACTTATGCCAGCATAGATAGTCACTGTCTGTTGTCGTACACGGATACAACATATACATTATTACGCATTCATAGCAAAGGTATAGTCAGGAAATCAGTTAGGAAATGATTGTGAAGCCTATAAATGTTTTCACTGTCAATCGTGTACGTTAAGCTATTAGTATTTATCACCCTCATTTCTCCCAGATATCTCAATCATTTCTAGACTCTATACCCCCAGTGTATCTCTGAACTATCTATGCGGTAACTCAAACATGGCACATCACAATTATACTATTTCAATACATGTGTTGCAATTACACTAATCAATGTATTACAATATATGTCTTATAATCTCACCCGTTGATGTATTACAACACATACACTATAATTGTATTAATTAGTGTCCTTGTGACGCCTATATCAGTTACTTTCCTTTTCTCTTTATTTATACTTTATCAAAATTTTCACATAACACATCTTTCATCAACATTTCTTTATTCACCAATTTACACTAATAACATATTTTCCTCCATTTCCTTTTACTTTACACTATCTCAACAACTCATAAATATTCACATCATTTTCATTAATTCCCTTTTACTAACAATCAAGTTTTCCTTCATCCCTTTTATCTTATTCATTTCGTTTACTTATATCTAAGGTACATGCATTCAAACTTCATCTAGTTCACACATAGGTAGCATACTATCTTTTGTCATTTAAGCATAATTAATCCATTTATGTCAATTTCACCCAACACTCAACTTCTTAATCAAATATACAATGATAAAACAAGAAAGCACATCATTACAAAACCAATACAATGCGCCGAGGGTCGGATACCCCTAGACTCAACCCAGTTGTGCATTTCATAAGTATTCTACCAAAGATCACATTCTTCCGGTCTTAATAAAATAATCTATCCCGAGGTTTTATCTTTTCCCAACAACTTATTATTCTCAATACCAATTCACACCCTAAAACTATTCATTTATACTCATCATTAAATAAGTTATGGAACCTCTTAAAAATAGATTTTCTTTGAAATTCTTACCATAAAATTTTACTCAGATAAAATACATACATGTTTTACACATCCATATATCCATTTCTTTTTATACTCTACTTTTCAAGAAAATGCTTCAAATTTATATTTCAAACATAGATATTTCGATTTTCTCAAGCAAAATATGCACTTAGAACTTAGGGTCTAAGGTCAGCTCTCCTTACCTGAAGATCAATCCTCGAGCCTATGTCTTTTGTGAGTTATAGAGAGGAGTTCCATGTCTAAACCAAGAATAGTACCCACTCTTCCTAATATCACAAGATAAAACACTATTACAACAAGAGAAAGCGGAGAAATTGAAACGAGATTCAAGAGCTGATTTCTAGAGACTTACTTAGATTCAATATTGAATCCCTTAAATACCCTTCAAACTCGCGCATTCTTGCTTGAGCGAGTGGGCTCTCACTTGAGCTAGCACATTCTTGCTTAAGCGAGCTCTTTCTCGCTTGAGCGAGGAGACTATTTTTCCGATATTCTCACCTAGGCGAGATGTATTCTCACTTAAGCGAGAATGGGTCCAAAGAACTCTTTATTTTTCTTGTGATTCCTCACTTGGGCAAGCTACTTCTCACCTGAACCAGATCCTTTCTCATCTGAGTGAGAGGACAGTTGGGGCAACTCTATTCTATCTCGCTTGAGTGAGAATACTTCAAAACACATAGTACAGAAAATATCTATCTCACTTGAGTGAGACACATCTCGTTTAAGCTAGCAGTCCTACACCAAAATTTCTATTTTTTTTTCCAAAAACAAGGGAATAAAAATGAGGGTATTACATCGATCATCTAATAAATGGTAAGATGTTTGGAAATTCTTCTAGCCATATGTTATTAAGAATTTTTTACCAAATCTATTAGTCCTTACAATATGGATATTATTAATATTATTTTGGGATCAATTTCAAAAAAAAAACTTGTATATTAATCAATTCGAATATCAATATACAAAATCTATACTATAGGAAAGTAAAGAATTAGTTGTTATCTAATCAGGCTTGTTAAGAACACAAAACCTTGTGATTTTATTTGATAGTTCAAATGCATTTGAATGATCATTAGCCAAATCATAAGGCAAGAAAATGTTAAAAGGAGCATCCATGGTAAAATCCTTTCATATAAAAGAAATATGATGAAAAAAAATACCACAAAGAAAGTGCAAATGTGAATAAAGAATCATGAATGTTATAAATTTGAATATTTTAGAAATGTGAAGAAGGGAAAACAAACATGAAAAAATAAGAAAAAAAAAAAGCACATGATACCTAACTTTTGTTACTTAACCTTTTCTCTATTCAAATGCAGGTTTGTAATGGTAGGTAGAAAAGACAATGAAATCACATAGAACACAAAACTGATATCAAATAATGTAAGAAAGGAGGAACCAAATATGCAAACATAAGAAAATAAAATACAAATGATAACTAACATTTATTAGTTAACCTTTCTTGTATTCAATTGTAAGTTTGTAATGGTAGGTAAAAAGAGCAACAAAGTTGCAAAGCACACAAATTTGATCAAGAATTTTGAAAAGATTAACTAGTAGTAAGGTTTATTTAATTTTTTGAGTGTTACAGGGTTTCTTCCCTCTTTAATATAATTTCTTGGAATGAGTTATAATACTGCATACCAATATAGAAAATGTGGAATAAGAAATAAATTTATCAGGAAATAATTTTTACTTTTTTATAATTTAAATTCTAAAATATAATAAAAAAAATTTTAAAAAAAAGTAAGAAAGAGTATAGAATAAACTTTTCATGAAATACTTATACAAATTTGATTTTATCATGAAAATATATGATTACAAATTTAATTATTCCAAAACTCTTTTAATAAAAAAAACATATTTGTTATCAATTCAACCGATAAACTAAAAAATATTATATATGCCAAATTTTAATACAGTAATAAGTATATTTGGTATAATATATGAAGTTTTTAAAAATAAAATTTTAAAATGTAAATGAAAACAATTAAAATTATAAAATATTTATATACGAGAGAATGTTGATTTTTCATTCTTAATTTCTTATATATTTATTGTGATTATTATAAATTATCACCACTTTTATTTAAATATTTGAATTAATTTTGTTTTGTTAATTAGATTACTAATTTAAAAATATATAAAAAACTGAATTAAATAAGCGTGATGATAAATTGAAAATATATTTGGGTAACAAAATGTAATCGGAGGCGGAGGGAATAACTGAGGAGTGAGGACAATGAGAATCGGATCGGTGTTCGACGGCGGCGAGCTGAGAAGGGAATTCGAAAAAAGTGGAATTGACCCAAAATTCATTCGAATCATATGGAAGCGTGTGGTTCTCAGTCTGAACGAAAAGGAGGAATGGGATTGGGAAAAACAAGTTCCTTCGTTGCCTTCGTCAGCGTACTCTCTGCTTCGTTCCAACCTGGGAAGCCCTCTCTCTTCCTCTCTGCACTCTGTTTTCCACTCTGCCGATAACCTAACCTCAAAGCTCCTCATCAAGCTTCGCGTACTCCTCCTTCTGAATCTGTGATTCATTACCATACGCTTCTTCATATCTTCATATGTAGTTATCTCATTTCATTTGGATTTGCTTTGCCTCAGAATGGAGCTTTTGTGGAGGCTGTGATAATGAGGTATGATACTCGTTTGGGCAAATATGCTGGTAAACCCCGTCCTGGCGGTCTTAGAGCTACTTTGTGCATTTCATCTCAGGTTTTTGTTTTTTTCTCCTTCACCTTCAATTCATTTTCAATGATGTATCTATTTCTTGATCTTTGGACCTTTTTCTCCCTCTTTTCTGCAGGTAGGATGCAAAATGGGTTGCAAATTCTGTGCAACTGGAAGCATGGGATTCAAAAATAACTTATCATCGGGAGAAATTGTGGAGCAGTTGGTTCATGCTTCCAGTTTCTCACAAATCCGCAATGTTGTATTCATGGTAATTGTTTTCACTCCCATCCTAGAGGCTGTCTTTTGCATCTGTGCATGAAGGAGGCTTTTCTTGTTTGAGATTAGTATAACTTCTGTATTTCATTACTGAGCTTGACCTCAAATGTTGAGCACTGTTAGTATTAAATTTTAAATACTGCTCATTTCATATATGTGAAGCAAGGGATTTAATGGTGATGTTTCTTTTGTCTTTTTTATCACGTCATCAAATTCGTCTAACTTGTCATACCATATTATGTCAATATCAATATCAGAATATTCAGTCTCTATTATCTTTTTCCTCCCTCAGTACCTATGTCTTCATGATTTCAACACTCAACAGAAACCTTATGGCATAATGTTTCCTTATTAGTCCCTTGTTCTTCATAATTTCTTATGCCACATGTATCTCTATAATAGCAATTAATATCTAGTTTGCAGTTTAATTTAATATTTTCTTACAACCAACAGGGAATGGGCGAGCCTCTGAACAACTATTCTGCTGTGGTAGATGCTGTTCAAATCATGACTGGATCACCATTTCAATTGTCATTGAAGAGGATTACCATCTCAACTGTAAAATTATGCACTGTGAACTTGCGTTGTTTTCTTTTTTACATTTTCTGACATAAATTAACTTCAAATAACCTGGTTTTATTCCATTATTAGGGGGGTCTTGTACTTCATGCCAAAAACTCTGGACTAAACTGAATATGACATGCAATTTACTTCCTTTATTTGAGAGTATAAGCCTTTGTTGATAACTACCCAGCTAAAGCATATGGTATTAAGCACATTGATTCCTGTTTGAGTCAAATCTTCGGGTATCCTGAGCCTCTAATGCAGATTATGTTTATAATGAGAATCCGGGATTGTCTTCACTCTGTTGTTGTTCTGTTAAGTAATTTCTTTTACAAAAGTTCTTGAATGTTGGAAATTTCTGGCTCACGAAGGGTATATTTGCATGTTTAATAGGTTGGCATTATCCATGCTATCAACAAGCTTCATAATGACCTGCCAGGTTTGAACTTGGCAGTCTCACTGCATGCACCAGCCCAAGACATCCGTTGCCAGATAATGCCTGCTGCTCGTGCTTTCCCTTTGGAAAAACTTATGGATTCACTGCAAGAATATCAAAGGAAAAGGTGATGATAGAACATTCATATTACTTTTGAGTATTAATGTATTTTGTAAACTTTTTGAACCATTTCAGTGATTTTGGAGGCATTTATATTTCATCCTTAATTGTAGTCTGCAGAAAATATTAATTGAATACATAATGCTTGATGGGGTGAATGATGAAGAGCAGCATGCCCACCAATTGGGGAAACTGTTGGAGACGTTTCAAGTGGTAAGGATTCAATATTTACTCGGTAGCATATTAGAATTTTCTAAATTGTGTAATTCCTCTGAATTGCATTTATAGATTTGAAGAATGCTTGTTTTTTTTTTCCCTCTTTTCAATTTCTCTGTCCATCACACATTTATGCTCCCCCAATATAATTCTAGCGGCCCACTTGTACTCCAAATTTTAGGCAATGATGGTTGTTGTTGGTGTTTCTTGATAATTCAGAGGACGTGAATGATCAATTCAATGTGACATTCACGCGTCGGAAATCAACCCAAACAATTTGTTTAAAAATCATAAAACTTGTTTAATACTTTAAAAGACGGGTTTTGGGGTAGTGGTTCCCGACATTTTGGTAGTCGTACTGCTTTTTGAGTGAGTCTGTCGGAAATTTGTAGCATTTATGTTGCATGTCTTCGCCGTTACCTCGTTTCATATATTGCTGTTTTTAATTGATTTTAGCCTTCTGTAATCTCTCTCTCATTCTCTCCATTAAACATGATCGTCATTACCAGTTCAGTTTCACAATGCTATTTACTATTAACCTTTTGCATATGCTCTGAATTACGAACAGGTAGTGAACTTAATACCATTCAACCCCATTGGTAACTTGAGCCAATTCAAACCAACCACGGAGCAGAAAGTCTCAAAATTTCAGAAAATTCTTAGGGGTACCTATAATATTCGAACTACAGTTCGGAAGCAGATGGGACAGGACATAAGTGGTGCTTGTGGACAATTGGTGGTTAACATACCTGACAGGTCCCTTGCCAATGCATATCCTCTAACGGACATAGAAGATCTTGTTATTTGATATCATATAGGTTCAGTTTAATTCTTGCCCTCACTTTTAAAATTTTGTTTCCTAGTTTATGCATTGTTTTCAAGTTTCAATCCACAGAAAGAAATTAAAGGTAGAATTCAAGGTGCACTCGGTGAAGTGTTCGAGTACATTTTAGGTTTTGATATAACTAATTCTGAAAGAAATGGTGTGATTAATATCCTAAATGTCAGGTCAGTTTAGAAGAATTAATGTTGTTTATATATATATATATATATATATATAGTACTTTTTCGGGTGTTTTTACCTGCTAACCGATGTAAAATGATGTTGTGTTTTAACCTCACGGAACTCGGGGAAAATATGAAATGACCACGTTAAGAACAAAGATACAAACCGTTCTATAAGATGTCAGTATAACCTCTAAACATTTTCTTTAGCAATTTTCAAAGTTGCCACTTAAATTAAACCACTATATATGTGTATGTGTGCATAACAGACTCCTGACAATCCTGTATTGACCACACCTAACCGGTTCATTTTTTTAAAAAAATTCATTCACTAAAGTGAGAAAAAATAAAAATTTATCTATTGTTATATTATACAATCAATTAAATAAATAATAAGTAAATCATAACTGTCTCACGTTATACATCTCATTTTAAAAGAACCAAAATTATTTTTAAGGCCAAGTATGGTGTCAAAGTGTACATAAAAAATTCAGAGAGCGAATCTAATCTACCCCAACGTCCCAAGTTCTAACAACACGAATGGTCAGAAATAGCAGTCCGGAAAATGTGCGTAAAGTTCTGCAGTGTCACCCTCGAATTGTAAATGTTTTTACCTGGTTTGGGTTCGAGCAAGCTTAGGCACTCATCTCTGCTCAATTTAGGTCAACCAAGCAGCCACGTACTTGACATACTTGATAGGGGTGCATAAATTTGACCCAAATATAAATCTTTTGACATGAAATCATCTCACAAACTAGTTGACGAAAAAGGAGGTTCTAGAAATTGTCTAAAACAAGTAAAAAGGTTTGATAGTTTAGGGAAACAGAATACAAGCATTTCAATTGCATATTGCTCTGTGATCCAATGAAGCCATGGGTCCAATTTCAAAACCTGTATGCCTCAGTCAGCGGGGATCGGATCTATATTACCTCTGCTAAAACCCAAACAAATCCCTGGCTTGCTGAAGATGGTGATAACTTGACGTTGCAACAGGCTCAGCAACTACGAGCAGTGTACGCTTATAAAATTACACACATAAACCAGAAGAAATGAAATGCTTAATCAAGTGGTGCTTCATGTCTGGATATTGTCCCGTAATCTACAAGTCGATATGGATGATTTACAAAACAACCTTGAAGATCTCTGAAATATTGGATGCTGTTTGCTTTTACGAAGCCAAGAGTGCTTCTAGCTTTGCAATCTGCTCATCCTCGTTCTGTGGAATGGGATCCTTATTTACCTCTTGATACAAATCATGTTTCCACTTCTCAGTTTGAGTCTTACTAGGACGATAACCTTGTCTTCCATTAAATTTATCTCTTCCCCTGTAACTGCCATTGCCCACATACCTTCCTCTTGATGGGAACCCATCTCTCCTAGTTTCAACTTTGTTAGCTCTGTCATCTGCAAATTGCTTCTCAGTTCTATCCAAATGATGTGGGTTGCTGCTTCTTTCCTCCTTCCTTCCATTCCTTTCTGGAGGGTGGTCAATCTGGCTTGACTTTACTGCCACTGTTGCAGCCAGATTAGCATCTACCAAATCCACTGGAATCTTTTTTTCCCTAAATGCAGGCCTTTTCCTTGAGGTAGGAGCCATGTCATCTTTCCTTCCAGAAAAACCATCTCTTCTCTGGAAAGTAGTATCATCTGGTTTAGCTTGTAATTTCTCATCTCTCTGCTCTCTTACATGACTTGTCTCTGCCCTTTCATTGTGCTGATTCTTAGAGTCCTTCCACCATCCACGCTCTTGGATAAAAACAGACTAATCAGATTATTTTCTTTAAACAACTAAGTTGTCATGTGGTATTTCCACTTGGTGCAAAGAACACACAAGTAGCTCAAAATATTTGAGAGTAAAGTGGGAGAAAATCTATCGCTTTTTTAAAAAGTTTTATTCATTTATTTATTTTATTTAACTTTGATTCTCGGCCACATTTTATAACAAAATAATTAAAACAATTCCAACTGAAACATTATTTTTTTTCATGCATAAAACACAAGGAATATTGCATTTGAGTGACTAGACTCAATCATCCATACATGAGATACTCTGTCAAGACCAAAAAGATACCATGAAAAACACAACAAAATATATATGCAAAATAAAAAACAGAAACTCACCACCAGCTTTTCTTTGACCAGAGCTTTGGCCAACCTGCCCAGTACTAGCTCGTTCATCATGCTGTTATAAAACATGCATAGGCAAGCCTAAGGTGATTATATATAAATACAGTGGCACTGGAAGGCATGAGGCTGAGCCTGAACACGAATCCCACTACATCACCCCCAGAAAAAAAAAGTTTGCATACACCGAATAAAAATCAATCTTGCAAAAAATTATAAATCTAGTTGAAAGAAGACATTTTCTTTCATATGGGAATACACATGACTAAAAATACTCCAACTCCTTACAAATCAAGGCAGTAAGAACCATTTTCAACAATTATTATGTTACAATGGCAGAAGTGTTGATATATTCAGTTCGAATAATCAGGTATGCATGTATCAATTATAACTATTCATGTAACTAAACTACTAAGGTTTGGGAGTTGGTCTTTCGGGGAAAGGGAGGGAAGGGAAATGCTTATCTGATGATAATCCTTATTTGGGAGTTTTAAGATGAGACGGAGGGTTTTATAAACCCCCCTAACCCTATGTTTTTAAGTTTTCCTAAGGCTTTGTTTGGAGTTGATTTTTAGGGGGAAGGGGCAGGAAGGTGAAGGCTTATGTGATGTTTAATCATATTTGAGAGTTTTTTAGATAAGACGAAGAAGGTCTATAAACCCTCAAAAATACTCCTCATCTCATAGTTTTTAGTTTTCCCAATTTGGGGGGTTTTGTATTAACCCCACTCCCCTTCCCTTCCCTTCTCGTCCCTTATCTTTCAAATCATTTCCTTTCCTCCACCTCAAAACTTCCAAACAAAGCCTAAGTTGGGAGATTTTTTATTAATTCTCCTCACTTCTCTCCTTCCTTACCTTCAAACCTTTTTCTTCCATCTCCCTCCAAACTCCCAAACAAAGACTTAACAAACTTTAATCATTTTCTTTTAATATTTATGGCTCATGTTTCACCTAATATAGCAATCCCGGCAATCTTTAATGCCACCCACCACGTATAGTAGAGAAACGTACAGAAAAACGACAAGGTCAAAAACAAGTTAAAAGGGGAAGAAACAAAAAAAAAATTGCGATGCGCAACATCAGCACAACACCTGAAAATAAGAGAGAGATCTTGGATGTTGGATAGGATCAGGTGCCTGTTTGGGTGCTTCAGAATGATTATTTGGTTTATTGTCCGTGTCCTTATGCAGAGACCCAGAACCAGATTGTTGCTTAGACTCATTCATCTGCCGATGCTGTCTATGCTCTCCATTTCCTGTATCTCTCTCTCTTTCATGTTTTCCATCGCTTCTATATCTCTTGGGGCTGCAACTATCATGTTATTTCAATACAATGCATCCAACACACAGCTTCTTCCAAACAATATTAAGAATTATTGGCTTAAACGCATAAAAAAGAATCATAAGAATGGATGGGCAATTGAATCATGAAGGTGCAACAAAAACCTAACTTTTTTTCTATAAAAAAAATTCTGAACGGAGGAAAGAGAATAGAGAAGAGGAAGATGTTTGTGTGCACAGTACAAACCTTGGTTGGGTATCGAATCTGGAATGGCGTCGCTTGGAATCGGAGTGACGACGAGACATTCTGATTCTGAGAAGAAGAGAGTGTGTGTGTGTTGTTAGGTTTGTTTTGGGCTTCACTTCTCTTCCTCCCTTTTATCCGCACCACACAATGGCCCACACTCAGTTTCTTACATGAATTTTCTGTCATTTGGTGTAAATTATGATTCAAGATAAACTTACTTACAGACGGAGATTTGCATGCTCTAAGAGCACATTGTTTAACTTATTTTAAGTAATAGTTTTTATAAATATTAAATTTTATTAATTCAATCATCGTATTAAAAAGTTAATTTAAGTATTTAAAATTAGTATATGTTTTAAAAATTAATTTTATTTTAACAAACATAATTTTTTTTTAATAATTATATGATATTAGAATATAAATAAATATTAATAATGCGAATTTTTCATCACTCACGACAATTTTATTTTACTTGAGTGAAATTAAATAATATTTGTTTAACTGAAGAAAAATTCACTTAAATGATAAAAATTCATTTGATAATGTGAAGTTCACCTAAATGAAATAAAAGAAGATATAAGGTTATCTTGCTCAATTAAAAAAGGATTTGCTTAAGTGAATTAAATATTCCATTACGAGCTTCTAAGAAAATTTAATTAATTAAGTGAATTTGGGACATCAAGTCATAAATAAAAATCTTATTATTTGCTTCAACGCTTCCAAGCGAAGTTAATTAATCTTAAGTAAATTGTGACAAAGAGTAATGAATGAAAATCTTATCATTCGCTTAAGCAAAAAAGATCTGCTTAAGCAAATTTGATATTGCTTAAGCGAATAATGCAGAAAATATGATTATTATATAGAAACAGACAATATGTAAGGTTGAAAAAAATATGGATGTCATTGAAATATAAAGAAACATTTTAGATAAACATTTCACTCCATTCTGTTTATGAAAATATAAGTGTTCAAAATAAAAATTACAATTGTAATCCATTATAAACAACAAATGTTTGAAATTAAAAACAACAAATGTCCAACTTAAATAACGAACAAGCATTGTCCTAATTCTAAAATCAAGTGTCTAAAGTGATCATGTTTGGCATATACTTCTTGTCTTGCATAGGTTGAATATGACCTCCCTTATTGTTTCTAGCATGATCCTCGTTATGTCCCCTTTATTCCCCTGCTTGTTCACCTTGTTCTCCATTTTCTACTTCATTTCCATCAATGTCCTCATGGGCTCCCTCCTCTGGGAGTACTACATGATCCTATGTAGATTCTCGCTGAGATAAGAAAGTAGGGTTGTCTCTAAGCTATGATATAACTAATGTTGCAAAGACTTCTGGTGTAGGCCATGGAAAAGTAGAAGTCTCTTCATGATATTGGTGTAGCGTAAATCTGGGAAAAGAGAAGATGAGAGTTATGATAGAATAAGAATTTCAAATACTAATTAAAATGATGAATGATATAAGATTAACTTATAAAAGGACTCATTGACCTCGTGTATGCCCAATTGTTTGTTGTCATTTGCTACTCTATGTAAGTGAAATGTTGTATGATACAAGAATCCATTAGTATCATATTAGGCATGAATGGTGACAATGGTGGTCGTGTTGTAGGTGTTGTGGATGAGAAGGGTTGAGAAGAAGGTCCAATAGGATGCTCTAATAAATTGCTGCAGTAACTTTTAATGAAGTGGGCATTGATGAGTTTTTTCAATTTGATTTTTAATTTGGAGCAATCGGGAATGGTAACACTTTAGGAAGCACACAAAGCAATGACGAGAGTTGGTAATCCCAAAGGTTTTGTTGCTATGTCAACAATTATCTTCTCCATGTTGTAAATAAGATATGCTTGAGGCATGAGAATATTTGAGGTGTGAGTAGTAAGGGCTATGTTGGCAATGAAGGATGTCAATATTTTGGTCAAAGTATTCGAATTTTGCCTTTTAAACCTCATTGGCCAACAACATTTATCTTATAGGATTTTTTAGGGATGCACAAGGTCTCAATTAATTTTTGCATCCAAAAAACATGTAAATCGCTTTTTTTGTTACTGGAATTGGGAAAACTCCCTTTCTACTAAGGTTATAGGGTTACCTAATAGGGCAAAAATAGCCTCCTTATCATAAGCTACTATGTGCCTTCAAACCCAAGACTTTCTCTCCATCTTGTCTTGCATAAATGACCATACATTTGCATAAAATTCTTTAGGGAGATTTGCCAAATATTGTCATTTCCTTCAAATTATCTCTTACATAAATTCTTCTTATTCTTCTTCCTTTAAGACCACCTTTCGCTCAGATAGTAATTTCCTTGTCTTCAAATCAATATATCTCTAAGCCTTTGCCTTGTTTTTGAACCAGCATTTATCCTATGATGATGCATGCTTGGTTGTGGTAATGGTTGGTGTTTGTGTTTGTGTAGATGTTGGTGATGCTATTGTTGGTCATCAATCGGTTCCTCATGTTGTTGAGAACCTTGGACAACTTCATGTTTTTTCCTTTTTCTTTTAGGAATAGACATCTTAGGTGCCATCCTGAAATAACATGCACAATTTCAAAATAAAATAAGCTCATAGTATGTCTGATATATTTGCTTAAGTGCAAAGGGTTCACTTAAGAAAAAATTATTTGCTTAAGTAAAATTGTCTCGCTTAATGATTCTCTTGTGTCCAAAATTTGCTTAAGCGAGCTCATTACACTTAAGCAAATTTCTTAGCGCAGAGACAAAAGATGTTGGGAAAGGAGCAACATGCACGTATAATCTAAATAACCTATTTCAATTATTTCAATGGAAGTAGTTTAAAATGAAAAGACACGAAAGGCATATAATCCAAATAAAACTAAGTTCTATCATGTTTTGAAAGGAGTTTTACATTAAAAAAGACACAATAACAACAAATAAAATCACCAATGTTTGAGAAAAAGCACCTAAGGATGCAATGTGGCTTTGATGCGATTCTAGGTTTAGGGTTATGATTGGAAAGAAATGAGTATGTTTTGAAAGTAGAGTTTATGAAATAAATGAAGCGAAATTGTTCCTTCTTCAATTTCACTTTTAAAAATTCTAACCATTAGAATTTTTGCTTAATTAAAGAATACTCTGCATAAGCAAATATTTGCTTAAGCGAGTAAATTTAAAGAGAAAAACATTTAAGTGAGTAATTCATTTAAGAAAGAATATTTTGCTTAAGCAAATTTGATAATGCTTTGGTGTGAAAGTTAAGTGTAGTGACATATTGGTGAAGAAATATACATTTGGAAGCTCATATTTTATGAAACAATAAACTAATATATGGTTTAGGAATATTGGGTAAGGAAAAGACCTATTTAACACCTACGCCTTGGAGTGTCCTCAGCAACTTCATGCCAAACAACATCTTCAAACAGACACGAATTCCAAACAATTATGTCAGCATAAAGGTGAGCATTTTTTTCATTTTGTTTTAATTTAAAAGTATTTAATGGAAGAATTAATACTTATAATGTTTGTTTTCATTTTGTTGGAGCAAAAACCCAATGATGAGTTTGGATGTTGTAGGGAAGTCTTGAGTTGAGTTAGAGTTTGAAAGTCTTGAAAAAGCACGATAATTTTGGAGTGAATCTCGAAGGATAGTAGGCTTTAGAGTGAGAAAATAATATTTTAACAAGTAAAATGTAAATAGTATTATTACATCCAGCAGATATGTTTATTGTAATGAGAGACATTAAGAGGAAGATAAAAGAGATGCATAAGTTACAAAGCACACATCGAAAATTAGAACTAATTATTTTACAAGGATATGATTATCTTGACAAACAATAAATTTGTTGTAAATGAGTTTGTTGAAGAGCATAATCACTCGTTACAACTTCTAGCAATAACACATTTATTTCGTGTAATAAGATAACCAAAGTCCAAACTCATGAAATTGATTTAGTTAAATCCTCAAGAGACAAAAGCCATCATTTTAAATACACGTAAAAAAATAAACTTAATTTTTCCATCTATATATTTACGTAACTACAGGCAGTTTTTGATTTTTATATAAATTTCTTATAATTTTAAATTATTTATAATCAAAGAACTATTAAAATAAAAAATTATTTTACTAATTTATAACACTATTATACAATATATTTAATTTAAATTATTTTTAAACAAAAATTAAATATTATTTAATATTTTTATTACTATTTACTCATATAATAAATTTTATAAATATTTTTTACTAATTTAAATGCGTAACTGGTGCAATATGTCAAAACTTTTTAATTATTGTAATACTAACAATTTTATTAAAAATAATATAAATAAAATAAAAATTTTAAAATATTTTTTTATATTTTTATCGGTAAAAATAATAAGATATATTAGATAATGTTATTTTATATATATAATAAATCTTGAGATAAGATTACGTCTTTTTTATAATAAAATAATAATATATTTTGAATATCATCTGTTACGTAATACTATATTTTTTTAATTATTTTTAAATAAAAATTTGTTATATTAAATAATTTTATGTTTAAATTTTAAAGTTTTATACAATAAAAGAATAACAAACTAATGAATCAGTACGTTAGTTACGGTAGGTCATTTTATTTTATTTTTATTTTTATATGATATTTTATCATTTTTGAATTATTTTTATATCAAAGAATTGTTAAAATAAAAATATTATTTTATTAATTTATATCATTATTATACAATATATTCAATTTAAATTAATTATTAACAAAAATGAAACATTACTTAATATTTTTATTATTATTTACTCGCATCAAAAAGTAAAATTTTAAAATATTTTTTACTAAATGTTTAACTAGTAAAAAATTTCAAATCTTTTTAATTATTGTAATATTAACAATTTTAATAAAAATAATATAAATAAGAATAAAATTTTAAAATGTTTTTTTTACATATTTTTAGAAGTAAAAAAGTAAGATATATTAAACAGTTATATATAAAATAAATATATTAGATAATGTTATATATAATAAATCTTATTGAAAGATTGCATGTTTTTTATAATAAAATAACAATGTATATTTAACATAGTTCGTTATAGATACAGTATATTTTTAAATCATTTTTAATATAAAAGGTTTATTATTTTAGATAATATTATTTTAAAATTTTAAATTTTAATTTATATTTAAATA